CATTAAATTTTGAAAAATAGTAATCCTTACTGGAACAAGCAAAAAATGTAAATAGTGTTGCTACTAATTAAGAGCCCTGTAAGTATCACTATTGGCTTTCTTTAAGAAATCATCTGTAACTTCTTGGGAGAAATATGGTTTTTGTGCCATTTTCCACCTTCCTTCTCAGCACTAATTCTAAGATGGAGTTTGATATTGATCCCAAAAGTCTGTCCTGTTTTTTGCAAACAAGTGAAAAAACCCTCTCACAACCTGCACTGCTGTGTGATATTACAAGGATAGACTTCATTACTTCTGAGAGTTTATCATATTTAAAGTTGTCCAGCTCATCTTTCATTTTTCCACTACTATACTAAGACTTGTCTGCTGGCTTACTGAGATCTACACCAGTCAATGGATTAATAGGTGAGAAAATGCTGCTGAAAACAATCCATTGTACTGGCCCAAGGTGCATCCTTACAGTGAATGTAACAAATGTGAATGTACAAAAAAGTACTCTACTGATTCCAAAGAACAACTTTTTCTGGCAGATATGTCTGTTACTTCTGCATGTTTCAAAGTTGTGTCCTGAAGTGGGAACTTGGGCTTCATGTATTGCAATGCAGTTTCATAGTAATTTCTTCCATTTTCATAGAAAGAGAGCTGGCTTCCTTTGTCAAGCTTTGTAAGGAAAGGCTCAACTTCATAACTAATTGTCAAGTTCTCATTTTTTAACTGAAGTTTTTGTCTTTGAAATTCATATCCAAAATATTTGAACAAATCGAAATTGCATGTGGTGTCACAAGTCTGCTTAACAAATCCTTAAATAAAGCAAACAGGACTCTCTGCAAGTAATGGATGAAAGGGTCCTCAGATTATAGTTTCAAATTATACTAGTCAAAGATTTGAATACAATTGTTCAGAAATAATGCATATACAACACATCTCCTTGATATAAGTAACTCATAAATCCTTTCTTCTCACAAATGTGTTTCTTGATGATTTGGTGTCAAGTGTGTCCAATACTTTCTCACTTGCCTTTGCAATTTTGTCTGCTACTTTCTTAAAGGAACCATCCATAGAAGATCCAGATTCCTTCCCAGAAAACACACTGACATACTGCCTCAATATACACAATTTTTCCACTTTAATGACTTTGAGGCTAGTTATTCTTGATGGTGTCCTGCAATATTCTTGCCAGTTGATTTTTCAATTAAATTGGGATTAGAAAGTAATGCATTCACTACCTTTTCCTTGTTGTCATCAAAGTATGTCATAACAATAGGTTTACTGTCAACATCATTACTGCCATCAGTGAACAAGTTGAAAGCCCTAGTTTTAATGTTACTCACAATTTTCTCAGTTGCACTGCTGGCTATTTCCCCAACTATTACAGAGGTTTTGTTTTTAGAGCATCTGTATCTTATGGCGATTTTTGAATCCACAATCCAGAAGCATTTTTTAAGAATTTTTTAAGCATGGTTTGAAACCACCACCACCACCAAAAAATATTCTTGCCAGTTGATTTTTCAATTAAATTGGGATTAGAAAGTAATGCATTCACTACTTTTTCCTTGTTGTTAGAGGATTTGAGTAGGTGCATGTTGGCATGCGAGTTGATACCCATAGCATTTAATTGTTTTTTTTAAAACTTAAATATCTTGGTTAGAAAACCATTTAAATTAAACTGTTTTTGGACATACTAATTATAAGAGATTGTAGTAATGAATAAGTGTTGGCAGTTTGTAAAATTAAGATGTAAAAAGGTGAATTGTTTCCGGAAAATTATTAGTAGAAAAAAAAAAGGCTACTAAAATAATTCCAGAATTTCACACAAAATCGTAAAATAACACAACAGTTCGTACAGGTCTAAAATGAATAAAAATCAGAACAATTACATCTAAGTCATAAGTGTTGGCAGGTATGTTGATAATTAAGTTTCATATTATTTCTGTTTGTATCAGAAAAAGAAAAAAAAAGGTGATTAAACATTCCACTTTGATCACATCATTTTCTGATTTGGTATCGGGTTGTCCAAAAAATGAGTCTAGTTTATTAATTCCAGATGCCCTCAAGTAATTTTGCTGGTGTTGAGTAGCGTTGATGTTTTTTGATGTCATTTTCACCTCCATGAGCAATGGAGAAATCAGAAATACAAACTGTACATCTTGCATAAATTGTACCCTTTAAGGATGATACAATATCCTTGAACACATTTGAATACTCTTGCCCAAGCTTCTGCTTGCTATATAAACTTTTCGTTGTTGGAGCCATTGGGAAAGAAGCAGAACAAGATTTTTCTGCCATATTCCTCTCAAAAAATGATCAGTACACCCTAGATGCTTATTACTTACATGCCTTTTTAATAGACTATTTCAACAGTTTGTAAAATTAAGATGTAAAAAGGTGAATTGTTTCCGGAAAATTATTAGTAGAAAAAAAAAGGCCAGTAAAATAATTCCAGAATTTCACACAAAATCGTAAAATAACACAACAGTTTGTACAGGTCTAAAATGAATAAAAATCAGAACAATTACATATAAGTCATAAGTGTTGGCAGGTATGTTGATAATTAAGCTTTTGTACCTTTTGTGAAGGTACAAGAAATAACAAATAAGATATAAATTTTTAAGTTAAAAATTTAGTATTCATTTAGGAGGTTCTAGAGGTTGTGCAAATGAAATATGAAATCAGAGAGAGGAAGAAATAGTATCTTATTCTTAATACAAAAATCACCTTGTACTTGGACTGACCCAGTAAAGATTTCGTAAATTTAAAGATAAAGCTTTAGTAAAAATATTTAATTAAAAATTCAGATTTTTTATACACAACAGATTTGTAATGGTTAGTAAAAGGTTGCCAATGTGAAGATAAATTCAGTTATAGAATGTATAGTTTCAAGATTATGTGATGATTACAAGGTTGGTTAATAACCCCGAATAGAGAGGGTTAATCCAGTTTCCACTTTTTATCAAATATGGCAGCTTTGTATTTTTTAATCTATGTTTAATGGTTCTTCCAGTTTCTAGAATATATACTTTACTGCTGCTGTATGATTGGTGCATTGTAGACTGTGGTGAGGTCCTTCAGTATCTTGCTGGATTTGAAGATTGCTGTAATACTAATTTTCAGGTTCTCAAGTTTGTAACTGATTTCAATGTACAAATGTGAAGAAAATGGTGTTTGTTGAGCACTTAATTCTTAGGATATCAAAGGTTTGGTGAATGAATCAAGGTTTCTGATGTAATTATTGAGTCTCAATTTTGCTCTGTTTTCAAAGTTACTGGTGATCCCACAATTTATTTGCTGTGAATAGTTGATCCTGTTTTGTAGGTACAGGAAGGTGCAGGTGGGTTTCCCACAAACTTTGGTCGAAAGGTGGTAATAATGGTGATGTACTATTACTTTAAATGGTAGTTGTTGTTTCTCTTCTATTTGTGAAGTGAACAGAATGTTGGCATTTCAGGAGTTTGTGTGTCGTGAGAGGTTCCTGATTGTGTGACCAAATTTCAAATGTACCATCAATACAAAGTCTGAAATATTATCTCCAAACCTTGATAGACGACAGGAGAAGTCCATATAAAACTGTTCAATACCTCCTAGTGTGCTAATCTATTATATTTTGCTGTGTCAATAACCTCTTAACCCTTTAGGCACATACTTTTATTCAGTCATATTATGTTCAAAATCATCATTTGAAAATTCAAGTTCAGAGCCAGAATCATCATCAACTTGCACAAGTTCAATTGTCTCTTCAAGCATAAAAACACTGGAATAATTTGATGCCATTTCTGATCCATTTTCTCATAAAAAATTAAACAGTTTTCAACTGTAAATATTACTGGTGTTATGAATAGCAAGACACCATGTTGGATATGAATTGGCAGCTAAGATCATCAGCTGAGCAGATCAAGCTTTGTCTATTGATTTTGTGTGCTCAATTTGCATTTCTAGCAAGAAATTTAAACTGCATTATGTAGTTGCCACACAGATATGGAAGCACCTAAAGGGTTAAGGCATCTAGAAAGTAAAAATGATCAGTGGGAGCTAAGATAGAATGATGTTGAATTAAGATCATATATCTTGAAAATAATCTTACAAATACATTTAACTATCCCTAACTGAATCATACCCAGATAGCTTGTGGCATAACAGAACTTATTGTTTCCATTTTACAGAAATATTGAAAAAAGTTTATAAAAATTAAAAATTTTTAGCATCAGAAATTTTCCACAATGTTAAGTCATACCGTTAATACAAAACAATCAAAAATTAAATAAAAAGTAATTGAAGAATTATAACTAAATTGAATTATACTTTAAACAACCTTTATATTTTAAACGTTTGTTATTTTTTCCATTATTTTGCACTGTTACAAGTATTATCACAAATCAGCTAAAGGGCAGACTAAAATGTTATAGTGTTAACAAAATCAACATGTTACTCTTATATGTTATAAAAATGCCTACAAAATGTCAATTTTGGGTATTTAAACACACACACACACATTAGAAACAAGCTCTTGACACTTTATGTTTACAGCACATGTAACACTGAGATATCTACAAAGATAGTGCATATTTTACTGAATAATTTACTTTCTTTCAATAAAATGCAGAATGTTCAGTATTTTCTAAACATGGATTTTGAGCAATTATAAAGCTCTAATGAAAACTAATCACCTCATATAATGCAATTTAATATGACAAAACTAATACAATAATAATATGACCAGCAATAAGTTAATAAAAACTTATTTGAAAGTTACAAAAACGATGTTTTTCACCACAAAGTTAATTACAACGCAATAGGAGCTGAATATGTTTGAAAATAAGTTTAAAAATAAAAAGTGCATAAAAATGAACTTGAATTAAAACTACAAATTAATTATATTGAAGACATTTACTATATGCTTTTTTTTAACTGCACAAACTCTTTCTCTCAGTGACCCTATTTCCAGCTATTCTGTACGTGCAATGGAAAGTGTTTTATCCAACATCTATAAGAAATACTAAACTAACCTCATCATAAGGTCTCTCAGCCACTGGTTTTGTGTCATTTTTGTCCACAGTTTCTTTTACATTTTCTTCTTCTTGTTTGTGACCTCTGGGTTGTTCCAGTTTCTGTTTATTTACTAGTGGAAATACAGCAACACCTCCAACAGGTTTCTGAACAGGAAAAGTAATTTTATGATTACATGGTTTTCTTTGTTTAAATAATTCTAATAAGAATTCAACTATAGAAGAAATATATATAAAAGTATGAGTACATTTAATACTATTAAATAACTGTGATTGGATTGTGCTTAATTAACTCTTTTAGGACTGGAAGGGTGACACTCATATCCCCTTGTTCTTTATTCTCACAGTGGATATATTTAAAATTGCATGAAACTTAATACAAACTTAGTAAATACCATCTATTTTCAGTTTTGAAAAATCATATAATATGATCTGTATTTTCCATAGTTTCTTAATAATTTTTTTATTAATGTGACTTTTTAAAGTCTGTTGCAAAACAATTTTTTTGTACTGTTGATAAGAAACTTCTTTTTATATATATATAGTCAAGTTTCAACTTCACTGATATTAACACATTTCTTTTCATAGTTTATCTTATTGATTAAAGAGTTTGACACATCCAGCTATGAACTGTAAAAAACACCACAAAAATTAACAGATTTATTGGTGCCCTAGAACTTGAACTTTCATAATTGTGTCAACATCCCCTTTATTACTAACAAATTTTCTGACTAAAATCACTTTGTATCTAAAAAACATAATTTACTTTCAGTAAAAAATAAGTTCTTTTACTATTTTATTTGCATATGATAAACTAGCAACAATAGTCAATAAAAAAGGATTTGAGTAATTAAGAGTATTTTGAAATTGCCTTCCATATATATTAGCTATAACTTTACTTCATGTCTTGTCACAGAAGAAAATTTCCAAAATTTTCAAACAGATATAATTTAACACGAAAACATATAAAATAATTCTCAAATCTGTAGATTGCTCCTAAATTTTCTAAACTTTCCATAAGACTCTGTTTATCTTTGTATGAGCTCCATTTAGTTATTTTTTAAAGATATCATAAATTACTACTCATACCACTTTATTTACCCTACACTGAGGTAAATAGTTTATAACTTGTTCTATCGAATGATATTTAAACATTACCTGTAGCTATTTTCAAAGCTGTGCTTTATTAGTAATTGTTCAAACCACATGATGTAACATTATAAAAATATGGAAACAAGGACTGTAATAATAAAACCATAAACAGAGAAGAACAATTATGAACAAATCAAGGCATGGATAGTTACATTCTCAAAAGATTATAGCATCTTAATAAATATAAACCTATGGTTTGAGACAGGCAGAAAAATTCTAAAAATATTTATTAAGTGCATTCTTTACAAGTAAGATACCTTAGAATTGTGCAGAAGTTGCAATTTGAATTTTTTTTCTTTGGAAATTATATTAAATAAATCTTATAAGATGGCAAAATGTCAATTTTAAAACATTTTGAGTTAAAATATGTTGAGACAAATGTATTATTTCTACTCATATTTTGAAATTTGATATGCAGGTGCATTATAAACACCTGGGAGGTGCTCTGCAGTCTGGATAGGATTGTTATGTTACTACCATGCTTCAATCTTTTGTGGGTTAACGAAATGATCCAAGAGAAAGTTACATTAAAAATTGGACTTTGTGGTTTTATATTGAATTTTGATGAACACAAAATTTCACACTCAAAGACCATACAGGAAAATTATTAAAGTAAAAAACTTTTCTACAATAAAACCTCCCCAGAAAAAACTTGATTGTAATAAAATTATCTCAAAATCAGTTTATATGAAAACAAAATTCTTATATATAGCATCTATAAAACAAAATTTCCTTAAAAAAATAGTCTGGGAAACACAGAGCTTAAGACACAATTTATATACAATACCTCAAAACCAATTAAAAATAATATCCCCTTCAAAAACAATTTCTATACAATAAATATTCTGGCAGAAGTAACTTCTATACATTGATATCACCTTTAGAAACAAATTCTATGACTTAAAACAATTTAATAAATAGTTTTTTTTGGACATTTCAGAATTTTTCCATGGGTTGAATGTAATTTATACCTTTGAAGTTTTTTTTTCCCAAAAAATATCACACCTTAAATTTTCTGTACAAAATGATGTATGTTTTCCTAAAAACTAGATATTAAAAATTCACTGTTAGGCTAAAGATTAAATCATAAATTAGAAAAATATTCTCTATTCTATGCCATGAAGTGCACTAACCCAACTATCTTTTTTTTTGTCAAGGGTTTCCATTTCTTTTTCTTTCTCCATGGGATGTCTCTTCCTGTTGTTCTGGTCTGGTGTCACTGGTGATGATTGGGATTTTTCTCCTCTCCTGCCATCACTGCCTGGGCTTCTTGTCAGAGGACCTGCAAGAGTGTGTCTTTTGCTTTCTTCTGGTCTTCCTTCAGGGAAAGAATGGTCCCTGGAATAGCTACCAAGTGCTTGGAGTAACAAAAAGAGGAAAAAGAAAAGGAAATCTTATTAAGCACATTCACAGGAAAGATTATCAAAAGAAAATGTATATTTGTAATAGTTGTAGTTGACTAAACACAGTTCATAATCAATAAATATTCATTGAAATACATTCTTTAAAAATGTATTAATTCTTTTCAGCTACTTGATAATATATGACATAAAAGCAAGTCAACTCACAGGCTTAAATTAACAAGCTCCGATCAAACAAAAAGATTTCTTTTTTATGTCCCCAAAACATTGATTGAATTAGTTTATGATTTTTTGGGAGTAAACATTATGAAATTGAAAGCTATATGTATCCGTTGCACAAATCAATTCATGAATGTGGAGAGAGCAAGATCCATGGATTGAAAATGCCATAAGATATAAACAACTGATGAAATTATTCTATTCTTGCCAAAGTAGGAAGAAACAGAATTGAACAGTAGTGATCATCTCTTGCAGCCCAAATCTCAGCAATGACAAAAGTTTCAGAAACAAAATAAAACATTCTGGATAGAAGCTCAAGTGAACAAGTTGCAAAGATACAAAGAGAAGCTGGGCATCTAAAGACCTAAATGAACTCGCACAGAGTATCAAATCTCCAAAAGGACTAGTAAAATAACAATGAACAACAAAGACACACAACTTCTTTGCCAACAGAATGTGGCTTAGAGTGCAGCTTTGCAGTTTGTAAGAGAAGATGATCGAACCACTGGCACAACCCACAAAATACCAGCTCAGAGAGGAATGATGTGAACAAAAACAAAAAACAATAATACAGAAAGCAAGTGCTATAAGAAAGTCCCACCTCGCACATTGATATGGATGTCACCACAGTCAAAGTGTCTGCAAGTACAAAAACAGAGGTAGGGTAATAAGGACAGAAATACCAATATGCATGAGGAACAGCTCAGATCTTGAAACACAAGAAAATGAGAATGGGATATCCAAGAATAATACAGACCTTAAAAGTAATGATCCTTCAATCCATGGGAAATGCCACTTAAAGAGAAATCATCATTACCAAATCAGAGAGGATGCATTTTTCAGATAGAAAAGTATGTGCATCCAAAACTTGTGGAATTGCAAAGCTGAAGGAGAAGGGTGAAGAATTCAAGAGAATATGAAAATACATCTCAGATGAAGAAGATATAGAGTAAGCACAAACTGAGAGGACAAATCAGAGCAAGGCAACTACTGAGAAAGAATCTTTACATGGATAACAATCTATCTACAGTGTGTGTAGAAGTAACTGACTACACATTAATATAGAGTGCCTAATCCAGACCAAAATGCAGGGTTAGAAATGGACAAATTACACAATCATGTTAAAGATGAAGTAGGAAACAATACATGTAAGTAAGTCATTTGAAACTCCATTTCTCATTCAAAAACCATGGTGAAGGAACTGTCATGATATTCACATAAGTTTCAACTAGAAATGAAAAATATCAAGATAAAAAATGATTGAAAATATTTATGACTAATCTCCAATACCCTGATGTTTGTGGCACAATAAAGAGGAATAGAAAATCAAAGTGAAAAATCTAATGAACACAAGACATGCAAAACATTCATAGACTAGATGTACTTCTACACGGTCCCTGAAAGTGTTCTGTTTCAAGAGTAAATAAAACCAAAATTAAGAGTAACAAATATATCTATTTCTTGCTTTTGAATTCCATATGTCATGCTGTGTTGTAGCTTACAGAGAGCATAATTCTTCTTGTGATTCATGGCATGCACACATTTTACTGACGTCAGGACAGTACAAACTGCAATGTTAAGCATCCTTTATGTGATGTCATTTTAGTATCTATTGATTGACTGACAGACACCACGCTACTGTATAGTGGTGCAAGTGGTTAAAACAGGCGCCTCCTCTAAGCAGCATTTGGCCTCCTTTTGGGGAAATAAAATTCTGAAATAACACTCCAAAAGTCACCCGGAAAAGGAGTCAAGGAGTGAGTTGTAAAGTCCTATCTTGCTACCCCAGATGCTGATTATTTGTTTAAGCAAAAAGTTACACAATAGATTAGAAGCACTCCTTCTATCTTAGATAGCCCTACCCCAGATTACTTGTAATGGAAGTTTGAAAACTTACCACTGACTCACTAGGAAAAAACTAAACAATAACTATGAGTAGATGTAACGAGCTACAAAAAACCCATTAAACATAGCTATTCCTAACCAATTCCTACTGAGAAGCTTCCCTTGAGTTTGGGACACCTTAAAGCAAAAGACCTGCAAAGAAAATAATGATTTTTTTTTTAAATATACACAAACACTGAAATATATATATACATAAAGAGAGAGAGAAAGCTATAGTTGAGCATTTAATTGATCAATCATAACTATGATTAAATCCATTGCAAAAAAAAGAAGCAACTAATTGAAATTAGGTGTTCTGATTCTTAAGGATTTTGAATAATCCAAATTGCTGATTAAATCTATTGCCATGAAAATAAACAACCAATATTTCACATTATTACACTGAAATATTGCCATTATGTTTATTTCTAAGCATAAAATTACTAAAAGGGTGCAATTCCCATTGCCACTAAACTTGCTTGCTCTGTCTTTGCTACCATAAAGCTACTAAGGCTATGTGGGTACATGGTGGTTAAAAGGTCGTGTAAAATACAGGAGCCCATTGCGATAGGGTTAATGTTGTATACATAGGGTTCCAGAGAGGATGCACCCCACATTTTTTAAGAAATTAATAACTATTATTTAACTTCGTATAAGTAGGTGCAACTTTAAAGATGTCAAGACTACCTAATTTTTCCCCAGAAATTATTAAAACAAAACAGTCAGATGTGTTTAAACTATCATATAATATCAAAGTTATAATTTTCCTATACTGAAAATACATTTGCAATAGGTACTTACCTCCTCTCACAAGATTAGCATTTTCTGTTTTGTGTTGCCATCAATATGCAAACATTTTTTATAATGCACGCCACAAGCCTTCTGTCCCCCTGATGTTGGAATCTTTGATTCCAACATGCCTCTCATGCAAATCATCATGTGTCATCTCTCCGCCAATAGGAGAGCACTATTATCACATGAAGGGATGTACCTATCGGAAATACATTTTCAATATACGAAAATTATAGATTCTGATATAATACTTCCCTCCTCAGAAAGAGCAGTGATGTCATTAACCCTTTCCACATGGGTCACCATTTATACACCGTATTAAACACACATTAGTGCCAAAATACAGTGATTACTACATTATACTAAAAGGTAAGATAACTATATAAGGCTGTATTTTATAAATATTAGAAAGAGCAGTGATGTCATTAACCCTTTCCTTAGTCATCCCGTTTGTTGACTAGCATTCAAAATTTTATTGCACTATTATTTTATGAATTTATGTCAGTAAGTTTGGTACCAAACT